AAGTCTGTTCCAATAGAAATTTCTTTTGTCATAAAATATTATGAAAAGAACTTTAGCAGTTAATTGTTGTTCTGTGGTTTTGACCACTCAACACTAAGAATTAAATGATCATATCCATGCCCGTTTAAAATTTCGATAGCAGCAGCCGCATCCTTACGTTGCTTAAAATGTACGTAAGCAAAGCCTTTACATAGGCCAGTATTTTTATCGCGTGCTAAATACATTTTGTTATGTGGTCCAATTTTCTTAACAAGTTCCTCGAGATCAGCTTCAGTCATAGATTCTGAAAGATTTGATATGCGCACAGCAGCAGTATCGTCTCGTCCACGCATTCCTATACCGCCCTTCTGACTATCTTTAAGGAATGGCGGAACATATTTACCAGACTTAGGTGCTTCTACAACTGAAGCAGCAGCTGCAGCAGCTTTCTTTTCCATTAAATTAGTATCCATTGCTGTGCCTTTGTACGGACAATTTACAGACCAATGGTCACCATTACAAATACGACACTTGGCAATATTTTTAGTTGGATCCAGTAATGGGTCATTAGCTTTTTCTTCCTCTTTAGAATTAAGAAATTGCATAAAAATTTCTTCAGCCATAATTGTTGTTTGTGAATTTGGACCCGGCTTATCATTTTTGGATTCACCAAATTTAGCCCAAGTGCGTCTTTTTGCTACAGTTCTGGGCACCACTTGCTTAGTTATTTTATACGTTCGCACAACTTTTACCTTTTTATCATCTTTGTTGTTCTTGTATTCGGTGACGTATTTACAACCATTTTCTATTGTTTCGGTAGTTGGTGGCAAGCCACCATAATCAAGTTCCACTTCATCGGCCCAAGATGATTTAATCGTTTCTACAGCAGGCATCTAAAAAATTTTAAGTATTAATTATGTTAAATGTTTAATTTTTAATTCGTTGTGACATTACAATTCAATTATCACCAAAATCTACACACGCCACGAGAAATACAATCGCTAAAGAAAGAATTTCGTAGATGTCAAAAACAAATTAAGTTGAAAAGTGTTTGGAAATTAAGTCAGAATATTTAACCCCTCTGTAAACGATACCAATGACAATCAAATGATTTTCAATATATTAGGTAATAACTACATTAAGGTTTATATATATTATACTTAATAAAATTAATATAATTGCATACCTCGAAATATAGAATATATGTCAAACTGTAATCAAATAATATAAGTTCACGAATATTATTTGTTGAAGTTGATATGATTTTTTTTCTTTTAGTGGCTATTATAAAACTTCTACCGATAGACGACAGACTTTTATCTACTGAGTCGGTTGGTAAGCAAATTTGGTATTATGAAACTTGATAGACAAACATGTGCACTATTGTGAATGATATCAGGATTTTAGAGCGTGCAGCTTTAATCGAACTTATTTTGTTATTTTGGTTATTTTGTGTTCGCTAAGAAATATTAAAATTGAATTCAAATTCTTTTTAAAATAAATAAAAATATATTTTATTTATTTGAAATTATTATTTAGTATTACATTACATTAATAAACTAAAGTAATATATTAAAATTAAGCATTAATATTCTAAAAACAAATATGTTTATATATATATTAATTTTAATATTTTTATAATTTGTAGTTATATTTATATTATATGTATATTAAATTAAATTAAATTAGTAAAATCCATATTGTTTTAAGCAGTTGAAGCTTAAGGGGCCGATATTTATATCTTTTGTCGGTATTTTTGATAGCTAATTTTAATTTTACTTGTATTACAGTAAGTTTTTGGTCACAATACTCATGCCTCCCTTCACTAAAATGTTTTCAATATTTTCTAGGCGCTTAAACTATTAAGGTATTAAGCTCTATCGCAATTTTCTCCCACGGTGGTCTGGAATGAGACTTGTTGCTAATGCCTTTCGCAATGTCTGGATATTTCTCCATATATACAACAAGTTTTACTATTTGCTTTTTATTTATTTATTTTTATTTCTATTAATTTTGCTCAATAACAAAATTTATTAATTTTATTAGTTCTTAATTTTAAATAAATACATTATTCGTTGAAAAATAAGTCTAAGAAATTTGAAAAATGGTTGTTTGTGTGTTGAAAATATTTGAATGAATACACTTAAATAAACAACAAAACAAAACAAAAATGCAACAATCATTATTCTCAATATACATATAACACTACACTTGAAATCAAATACATTAAATATATATTATATTATATTAAATCTAAATGAATTATTACTAACTATTAAATTAGTAATATTTAAGTTATATTAAATTTATATGTTAAATTGACTATATAAAGCGTTTTAACAGCATTTATTTTATACGATCGACAAACTTCTACTGCTCAAATGCAGTATAGAAATTTGTCTACCGCTGATAGAAAAACTTCTATCGGTTTGCAATTCATAATACCAAAATTTAATTTTTTCTACCAGCAGTAGAACTTTTTCTACTGTCTGTCAGCGATAGACAATTCATAATAGGCATAATAAAATGTGTCATCAAGTTGTCCTTTACATTTAATTTTAAAAATCATTTCTATTTACGAAAAAAAACTGTGAAATAAGAATTAGTATTAAGTTTAATAATATGAACATTTTAAAATGAACTATAATAGAAGAAATAAATGTAATTATTACACCAGTCTTTGTAATTACTTCCGCTTTATAGCCGTAATTTTTTCTTACAGAGTAGTAAAAAAATACTCGCAACTTACAAAAGAAAACATGTGAAATAACAACGATGCTCTTATAATCTTCAGAATTCGGTTTTACTCGTTAAAATTTTAAGTTTTAAGTTTCAGTGCACCCAAAATCAATAATTAGTCTATTGTGAATTTTCACTGGAAATATGTTGCAAAACTCCAGTCATCTGTTAAAGCCGTATGCACATTTTATTACGGGTATTCAGGATATCAATGCATCGTTGAATTTGCATCATTGCGAACTCAAATAATAGTGAATACATTTTGTTTTCATTTTGTTATACATAATTTTAACAATGCCAAGAAAAAGTGAAAAGCAGAATATATTGACATATACAAAATCAAACAATTGCACAAAATCAAACAAAATTTTACAGTTTTGTCCAGCGAACAGTACAAACAGAAGTGTCATTCACAATAGAGTCTTGAAATGGGCTTGAATATTGTTTTGCAAATCAAGTGCAGAATCATAATAATAAATTCAAATATAAAAATAAATAAATTATTTTAAATATATGAGATAAAATTGCAAACCTTCTATCCTTTTAATTTTCACTTTGTTTTCTCTTATTTAAATTAATTCATTTTTAGTGTTTACAATTTTTATATTTCATATTGTACACAACACAATAAAAAACATATTTATGTCAAAATAAAATTTATCATATTTTAAAAATGATGTCAATCTGTTTCAACCCGACTTAATGTTGATTTTTTACAAATCTTAAAGAAAAAATTACGGTTATTATTAGCTTCTTAATGATGTAAGAACGAAATTTTGTACAAATATTAGGCTAAACCTATAACTTGGATAAATAATTACAATAAATAAAGAAATATATTTGAAGAGTAATATTAATAATATATGAATAATAATTATATAGTTTATTTACTATTTATGTATTTCTTTTATTTAGTAGTTAATATTAATTTTGATTAAAACATAAAATATAAATATTAAAACCACCACCTTTTATTCATGAATTGACCAGTTGTTCAACGCAGCAACAAACACCCACACGCACATCCAGCACAAGACAAGCCAAGCTCACGGTAGAGCCGTTACTTCGCAACGAAATGCAAGCAGCTAGGCAAGAAATGCAATAACTGTGTACGCATGAAGAATTACACTTGTGCGGTTGTGCGTACAACTAATGAAGTGAGGCTAATTTCGTATAAATAGACTACAATTTTATATGAAATATCACTTAGCGCTAGCACACTGAAGTAAGCAGACACCTACATCATCGCTAAGTCGCCAGAGAAATTTCACGCCAGTAGTATTCTGATACTATAGGCTAGTGCTGTTCATATTCGAATTTACGAAGTATTCGAAGAAATTCGAATAGTAAACGAAGTCTTCGAAGTTGAAAAAAACTTCGAAGTTTTTGTGAATTTTTGTTCTCGAAGTCTTCGAAGTTTAAATGTAGTGAAAACCTTCGAAGACTTCGAAGACTTCGTAAGCAAAAGGTGAAGTGAGAGCGCACAATGCAAACAAACGTGCATCACACAAATTATTTGAGGGATGAAAGCGTTTGCTTTGTTTGTACGGTTTTATGTTTTTTGTTGTTATTCTATGCAGAAAATTAAAAACATGTTTTTTTGTTTTATTTTATTACATAAAATTTATTTTATTATTTTATTATTAAATATGTATTATAATATATATTATTTTTAAATATGTTATTATTAAATATTTTTTATATTAAATAAAAAATTCACATTTTAAATAACTTATATTTATTATTTATATTTAAAAAATCATATTTGAGAAAATTTTTATTATAATATAAAATATATACGTAATAATATGAAAATATTGATATTGATGGATTTTATTAGTAATGGAATTTTATAAAAATTTTCATTTTCCTTTAAAAAGAAAATCACAAATTAAAACCTTGAAAATTAGTTATGGAAAAATGAGTTTTGCTCATTAATGCCTAATTATTTGACCTGTATGAGCTGTGATGATCACGCAGGTAAGCGCAAATTTATTTTTGCATTATAAAATTTTGAATGTTTTGTTGTAGTTACAGTTATTTTACTGTTTATGGAAAATTTTTAAATCCTTTATTCTAGGAAAAGAAATACATAATATTATAAGGAAGTATCTAAATAAAATGTAAATTAGTGTATAAGCAAAATTGTATAAAAGAAATTCCATCAAATTTTCATGTATTTTATATTATATTAAAAATTTTCATAAATATAATTTTTTAAATATAAATAATAAATATAAGTTATTTAAAATGTGAATTTTTTATTTAATATAAAAAATATTTAATAATAACATATTTAAAAATAATATATATTATAATACATATTTAATAATAAAATAATAAAATAAATTTTATGTAATAAAATAAAACAAAAAAACATGTTTTTAATTTTCTGCATAGAATAACAACAAAAAACATAAAACCGTACAAACGAAGCAAATGCTTTCATCCCTCAAATAATTTGTGTGATGCACGTTTGTTTGCATTGTGCGCTCTCACTTCACCTTTTGCTTACGAAGTCTTCGAAGTCTTCGAAGTTTTTCACTACATTTAAACTTCGAAGACTTCGAGAACAAAAATTCACAAAAACTTCGAAGTTTTTTCCAACTTCGAAGACTTCGTTGAAATGCGAATATTCGAATATTCGAAGAACTTCGAATTTTTAAAAACTTCGAATAATGTGAACAGCACTACTATAGGCTATATTTGTAGACCAGTAGTTCATCACGCCGCACGACATTTTGATGTTATAGGCTAGAATCATTTTATTATTGTAGTTATAACGCCGCACGGCATTTTGATGCCATAGGTTAGAATCATTGTATTATTATAGTTTATAACGCCGGATGGTATTTTCATGCCATAGGCTAGAATCATTATATTATTATAGTTTATAATGCCGCACGTCATTTTGATGCCATAGGTTAGAATTTTTTATCATAGAGTATAACGTCGCCGGCATTTTGATGCCATTGGTTACAACTTATTGTAACCGCTTGGATTTATAACAACATAGACTAGAATTCTTTTTCTACCTAGTATTATAAATTTTATAATAAAGATATTTATTTTTGAATTGAAATAAACAACGTCTTTACTTTCTCCTTGGTCTTTTACTAGCTTGCGAACTAGTCAATAAAACAAGTTTATTGCAACGACCTGGACCGGGACTGAGTGATATCTCAGCAAAATTAAACGACGAATCTGTTTCGTTACAATGAGAGCTCAGATAATGTAATACCTTTATATAAGACATACTATATTCTATAGACATATGTACATTAGCAGCACGCATTTTCCACACAAAAACATACATAAGGGGACATGGCAGCTACCAGGTTCAACAACAGCCAACCAAATAGATCATGTTCTTATAGACCATATTAAGAAATCGTTTATCCTTGATGTTCGTAGCTGTAGAAGTGCGAATGTCGATAGCGACCATTTTCTGGTAAAAGCCACAGTAAGACAAAGTCTAAAGGGCGTACGTAGAAATTACGGATTTAGAAGGAAAAAATGGGACGTTGACAAGTTACATGATAGCGAAACGGTCCAACAATATGAGCAGAGAGTAAACGAATCACTTAGACATATCACGAACTATACCAATATAAACGAGCATTGGAAAGTTTTTGCAAATTCAATCACAAAAGCAGCAGAAGAAACCGTTGGTGTGAAAAGAAATCGTAGACGCAACAATTGGTTTGATAACGACTGTGCAGTCGCAGTGGAAGCTAAGAATGTAGCCAGGGAGCAAATGTTAAATGACAACAGCATTACTAATCAAAGCAACTACAAAAACAAACGAAAAATAGCAAATATAATATGCAAAAGAAAAAAAAAAGAAGCCGTCAATAGAGAAATCCTAGACATCAATAGAGATTTTGCAGATCGAAATGCTAAAGGTTTCTTCCACAACATCAAGCATCAAACAAAGGGTTTTCAAGCGCGAATCAACATGGGTAAAGACAAAGATGGGGAACTACTAGTAGAAAAAGAGGGCATTATTAAAAGATGGCAGGAACATTTTCAAGAACTTTTCAACATTGGTTCGGAAAATAATAACCTATCCTTAACAGACTTAGCTACAAGTACAGAACAAGAACCTGAACCCAGTCTTGAGGAATTTACAGAAGCCATAAAGCAAATGAAAAACGGAAAATCACCCGGTGAAGATAGTATATCAGCAGAGCTCATTAAACATTGCGGAGAAAGCGCAAAAATAGAGCTGTTTACATTAATCAAGCGTGTCTGGGCTGAAGAAAGGCTGCCGGAAGCGTGGCTCACTGGCGTAGTAGTACCACTGCACAAAAAAGGTGACAAACTAGATTGTAATAACTACCGAGGCATAACGTTGTTAGGCTCATGTTACAAAGAAAGAATGCAGCGGAGGAAATCTTAGGTGAATACCAAGGGGGCTTCAGACCGAATCGTTCAACGACCGATCAAATATTCCTGCTTAAACAGAACTTGGAAATGAGTTATGAGTTCAATGCAGTAGTGCATATCCTTTTCATCGACTTCAAACAAGCATTTGACAGCATCGATAGAAAAATGATACAGGAAGCTCTACAATCACTCGGGATCAATCAGAAGCTCATAAAACTAATAATGATTACACTGTGCAATACGACGGGAAAAGTGATAGTGCAAGACAGTCTAACAGATGCCTTTGAAATTAAAAGTGGAGTGAAGCAAGGTGACTCGCTTTCAACTACCATTTTCAACCTAGTCCTTTACGATGCTATTAAGTCACTGGTGGCAACAGGGAACATATTCAACAAAACATTACTGACTATTGCCTACGCAGATGACATAGCCATCTTAAGCAGATCACTTCACTATATGAAAGAAAAGTTCATCGACTTACAACTCAGAGCTAAGATCGTTGGGCTAAACATTAATGAGAACAAAACAAAATATATGAGGGTTGGAAGAAACATGCACAGCCGAATTTTAGAGCCCTTTCAAGTTAGTGAGTTTACGTTTGAAGAAGTTGAAAGCGCCAAATACTTGGGTGTCCTTATTAATAAAAACAATGAAATCAGTGTTAGTATACAAGACAGAATTGTAGCAGCAAACAGAAGTTATTACGGACACGCGAAAATCTTCAAATCTAAAATCGTGACCAGAAGTGCCAAACTACACGCTTACAAGGCAATCGTCCGCCCGGTATTATGCTATGGGGCCGAAACGTGGACTCTAACGACAGCAGATGAAAACCAAATTAGAACATTCGAAAGAAAGGTGTTGAGAAAGATTTATGGTCCCATCCGCCTGAATCAAGAAGAATTTCGTCGGCGTACGAATGCTGAACTACTACAACTTTGTGATGGTGAAGATGTGGTGAAGTTCGCAAAGTCGCAACGCTTGAGATGGTTAGGACACGTCATGAGAATGCCGGACGATAGACCACAAAAGCGAATACTCCATTTCACGCCGTATAATGACCGCAGCAGAGGTAGACCACGTATAAGATGGCTCGACAACGTGACTGAAGACATCAGGAAAATGGGTATACAAAGCTGGAGATCTAAAACATCATGCAAAGCAGAATGGAGAAAGCTGGTTGATGCAGCTAAAGCTCACCCCGAGCTGTAA